TGGCTTTACGCGATCCAGTCCCAACTAGGAAAGAAATCCAACGATATTAAATAAAATTTCTTGAGGTCACGTGACATTTTGTTACAGCAACAATTGAGCGTTTGTTTGGACAACAGACTTTAATGATAAATCACAAGTGAAGAGTTTGCATGTCTGCTCCAGAAGATAAAAATGCTATGAATCCATGGAGTCAAACATTAACTTAATCGCGAGGATGGTCATTACAAGCTTGGTCCTTTCCTTGGGTGATAGAAATTCATCATTCGTAAATAATATACCGCTTGCCCAAGCCAGAATTACAGCAGTTGGAAGCGCAAGTTGTCAAAGTGACAATAATTTGCATGATATGTACAGAACTACTGTGAATGATTACCATCTGCGAATGGATATGCCTCTGAAGTGGATCACATTGTACCAGAAACAAAAGCGGGTTTTGTATTTGCCGCATCATCCCGTGATAAATGTTAACAAGCCGGGAAAAGTACGTGTAGTGTTTGATTGTGCTGCTAATACAAAGGAATGTCGCTTATATGAACAGCCAACTTTTGCAAGGACCTGATTTAATGAACAGTCTAGTCGGTGTACTTATAAAGTTTAGACAGGAACGAATAGCAATTTTATTGCAGATATTGAAGCAATGTTTCATCAAGTTCGTGTTATCGAGGAAGATCGTGATGCTTTAAGGTTTCTCTGGTGGCCTAATGGAGAATTGGACAAGATTCCTAAGCAATATCGCATGAATGTCCATTTATTTGGTGCTACATCTTCTCCGAGTTGTGCTGCGTATGCACTTAAAAGAACAGCGAAAGATTTCTCGCATCTGTTTAAACCGGAAGTTGCGCTGACAGTTGAGAAGAATTTTTATGTTGATGACTGTCTAAAGTCTGTCCATCTGAGCAGGAAGCTATTGATTGGCTATGAATTTAAAGAAAATGCTGTCTTTGGGAGGATTTCGCTTAACAAAATGGCTCAGTAACAGTAGAAATGTTTTAAAGACAATACCGGAATCAGATCTTGCCAAATCGGTGGTCAGCTTAACCCCTGGTGAAAAGTGTAATGACAAAGCATTGGGTATATGGGAACGGATGATACGATCGACACGTGCAATTTTGAGATCGTTAGTCAAAGAGCAGCTTCTGACAGATGAACAACTTCTTACTGTTGTAACAGAGGTTGAAAAAATACTTAATGATAGACCCATTACCCGAGTAAGCGATGACCCAAAAGACCCCCCAGTTTTAACTCCAAGCATGATTTTATTACTAAAGTCCAATACATGTATTCCACGTGGCATTTTTAGAAAAGAAGATACATATGCAAAGAGAAGGTGGAGACAGACTCTCAGTATCTTGCTGATATATTCTGGAAACGATGGATTCGGGAATATATACCTACCCTACAATCTCGACAAAAATGGCTGAGACCACAAAGAGATATCCCGTGAGGGGCGATATTGTACTCGTGGCTCAGGAAAACATACTAAGGGGGCAGTGGCCGTTGGGCAGGGTTTTGTAACTATAAATGTGGGTCGGGACGGGCATACACGAAGCTGTGTGGTCAAAACTAGTATGTCACAATTGTTAAGACCAATAACTAAACTTTGCCTACTAGAATGTTCTATTTAAGTAAAGGTATACATTACAATAAGCTATTGTTTGTATAAGATGAAATCGTAACGTTTCATGGTGGGGAGTGTAAGAATTATAGTTCTTAATTGTAAATTTATTTATTATAATCACATACTTTTCATAGTTTGATTTTTCTGATAGTATTTACTATTAAAGACATTGTTTTTGACTCTTTCAATTAAAGATAGCTTCACTATTTCCGCCAAACGTAACGTCTTATTTTGTTTCCCGTAAAAGACGTCATTAAATTGTTTTACGGTGACGTCATTAACCGTTACTTTGATATGTTGTTTGCCTTTGGGCGGAAGTGCTTAAATTGTTGATGTGTTTTGTTTATTGATGTTTTCCAATGGAAAGTAGATCATAATCGGTAAGCAAGTTATTAATTATGTATGAATTTTAATAGTAAATTCAATATTGTTTAAATGATGATGAACTTTACAATATTTGCCGTGAATTAAATTATAAACGGAATATTCGCGGAAATATAAAATAACAATATTATTTTAATAGATTAAAGTCTATAATTGTAAAGGTGATATCGTATATTTATGATTTGTATTAGCATTATTATTTTAGACAATTTATTGTATTTTATTTTAAATGCGTTGTAATCAGTATTTAGTTTGTTTATTATTTTCAGAGAATCGCATTGTTGTATCACATTGATATATTATTCCATGAATGAGAATAAAGAAAAGTGTTGAAATCTGCGCATTCTTGACTATTTTTAACGGAAAACATCTACACACATATATTAAAGAATAAACTAATGAAAGGAATGGATTGAAAATAAGCAATCTTATTTGAGAGCATAATAGGAGGTCACTGTCTAAGGCCAATAACATGGGGGTTTGACTAAATTATGGCCTGTTTTGAACTTGAAAAAAAAAAATCACTACCTGATCAAGGCTCTTGTTTTAATCAAGCAATGACAATAGTGGAACACACTGTCCTACTGACAGCCCATTTATCATAAATAATTATCTAAATAAAATCTAATGTGGTAAAGTGTAATGTTATAATTCTCTTAACTTAACTTTGATATTGTAATTATGTTTATTTATTTAAGTCGTTGTGTTTGAAGCCAATATTTTGTAGTTTTTGCAGGAGATAGTGCAATATATATATAAAGTGTATATTTCTTGTGTGTACAACTGATATGTTGTAATGTGGTAAAGTTAATGTTCAAGTTGTGATAGTTACTTTAAGTTATTTTTAGTTGTATGTTAGTGAAATTGGTAGAAAGGAAAAATTCTTTTTCCAAATGTTTTAGCTCAACTATATATAGAATAGAGGAACTAATACAGAACACCCATTGCTTATGCATCTACGTGACTGTTGGTTTAAATTTGAGGCCAAGTTTATATTTTATATACCGCTGAAAGTATATTTTATAAATCATTGATGGTATTCAATTAAAACTTCACACATCTGTAGAAATATTATTGTAGATCACAGAAAAAAAACAATAATTCTAGCATGATATTTGACAGAATTATATTTCTTTACTGCTTAAAATAAATATACAAGATCATTATCTTGAGTTGGTTCAGATGTTAATTCATACCTGTGTCTGTGAGACTATAAAATCTTGCTAAACTTTTGACTAAATTAAAGCTTTCTGTGAATCTATTCTGCATTTTCCAGAGCCTTGTTTTACTATTAAATACTGAGAAAATTAAACGCATTTACTTCTGCTATTTATTATCAGGCTTAATCAATTTAGTCTGCAATATTGTCAATTTTGCTGTATTGGCTGACTTTTAATGTTTCCATTTTACCTGTTCTGATCAGAATATTATCATCTCGAGCTATTACTACTGTGGTTTTTGGACATGACAGAACTGGAAATATTTGGTAACTGGAAATATTTGGCTGACTGTTAATGTTTCCATTTTAATTCAAAGGGGGCTATTTTGTTTAGATAAGAAAATTATTATCGCCTGTTGTTAAAGGGACTCAACTGAGGTTTTTTGACATGACAGAACTGGAAATATCTTTTTAGATTTTTATATGATTTCATGTAGGTCTAAACTAATAGCTTATGTGTAAAATTTGACATTATTAGCTCACTCCGGATTTTCCAGAATAACTGTTGTTAATTCGAAAAATGACCTTAAAAAGCATTTTACAATTTCGGGCTGACAAACATTCTACATATTGACCTTTAACTTTAAGTTGATCTTTTTTCATTTTTTACTTTTAAGTGACCAGATTGATCTTTTTCAGATTTTAAAAGCTGTTAGACCTTAGTGGAGTTCCTTTAAAGGAAACTCGTGCGACCAACTGTTTTTGGCTTACTTATATGTAATCAAATAATCAATCACTTCATATAAATAAACCCTTATAAGACTGGACAGTAATAAAAAAGGAAAAATTTATTAGATGTATGCTGATTTTATTTACTTGATCCAACAAACACAAACTTGTTCAAAGTATAATGAAATAATATGTTCTAATGACATATGAATAAAAATATGAATAGAAATTGAATATGTGAAGCAGAATTCAATATATTTACATGCGATATGTAGAGAACATAAAGAACATATTTTCCATATGTGTAAAGGATCTTGAAGGCACTATGTAAAATTCCTGATTAAAATACTGCATAATTATATATAATAGCACAAACTTTATTGTTATTATTGTATGATATTGTTGTTATTGTACGCATTTATTTACTTGTGTTATACTGTATTATTTGACATGTTGATAACATTATTTTTGAATAAAATATCATAAAGAATATCCCTACGATTTGGGTTTTTTCTCTCAAAATCATACTAAAATAATCATTAAGATTTATACTTTCGACTTGTAAAAGGAAGGAATAGAAGGTGTCTTATTACTAGTTAATAATTTAATTCTTATGTTAGAGTATCAAAGTCAAAGTTTATAAACATATATCTTGCTTTATCTACACTATGAAGTGAAAACAGAAAATCATTTTTGTTCCGCCATCTAGTGACTGTGAGGAATAATTCAAACTATACATTATGCCAATGAAAATAAATAGAGGATATTGAATGAGTGTAAGTTCAATACTGAATTTATTGCACGAGTTGAATAAAATTATATTATGCGAGCCTCTGGCGAGCATAATATATATTTTATTCAACGAGTGCAATAAATTCAGTAATGAACTTACACGAATTTAATATTCTATTTATCACATACTCAAAATAAAGACCGTTTAAAAGTGAAATAAGAGTCATTTCCGTTAACGCGCCTACAGTAGAACGCTAACATTTAGCGCGTCTTTACACTATGTATGTATAACGCTAATGACGTCACGTCAAAATATATGCACGGCCGTGCAATACCATATTTACGGAGTCGCAAAATCGGCACGGGTGTGTGATAAAGTGTATTATATATTAAGAAATCTTTACTTTATTTAATTGTCCACGACATGATCACGGTATCCTATTTATTCATCTTGCTTGAGTTTTCCATTGATTCTTTAGTTTTAAGACTATAATTGTGTTTGACAACCCTGCTTCTATTAGAGCTTTATTTTTCCAATCATATGTTAATGTATAAGTACATTTATCTGTCAAGCCAGATACGTTTGTTATGACTTGAAGAGTAGTTCTACCATCTTCACTTATTTGTAAAATATTCCCATTCCTACCATTTACATAAACATAACCTTGATCATCTACACAAACTCCACATGGGATATCAATGTCTAGATTGTTTAATGTAAACAAACGGTTTCCATTGTTGTCAATGGTAACAAGCTTATTTTGATCTGGTAGGTATAACTTACTTCCATCATTACTTACAGTAATATTCATATATAGAAATACAGTTCTAAATGAATAAATCATCTGATGCTTTATGCCATCTGTACTATAACTATATACAGAACCAAAAATGTCTCTAACATACATCTGATCACCATGACATGCCAGACCATGACAATTATGATCTGTATCAATGGATCTAATCAGTATCATACTATATTTAGTATCAACAAAATGAAGTTTCCTCAACTGTGATACAACAGCTTTATTATCACCAACATAGCAAACATCTTGTGGAAAACCAGGAAGATCACACACACTGATTACTTTATACATGTTATCATGTTTCTTCAACTTTTTATTTTTGTAATCTGTAAGCAGAATTTCTCCTGAAGGTAGTATACAACTTCCATGAATCCAACAATCGCCACTATCACCATTGATCTTGATGTTAATTTCACTTTTCTCTTCGACTGACCATACATCTGACGACATTGACCTCGATCTCTTTACACTCAAATCAATTGTCTCGGTCAGTAAATCACTGAAATAGGGCATATATTCATAGATTTTTAAAGCGATATAATTTTTGTCCGGGGTATTGAAATATAAAATCAAATGTGTAAAGTAATATAATCAAATATTGACCATTTTTTTTTATTAAAAAACATGTTTTAGCAAGAAATGTTTTAATTCAATATTGCAGCTTTATTAAAGATACTTTAGATGAAAGTGATAGAAAGAGCAAACATTTCATGATTTATTGATAAAACTGCACTAAATAATAAATAAAACTAATGTCTTTATAAGGACAAAAAAGATAAAAAAATTAATAAATAAATAGGAAAAATCGTTTAATTTAATCTTTGTCTCCAGTCAATGCATAGCAATTAGCTAGTTCAATTCATTTATTGAAATGTCCCATCGGAACACCAGCAATATACACAATATAATATTTACTTTCATGAAATATATAGAGGATATTGAATGAGTGTAAGTTCAATACTGAATTTATTGCACGAGTTGAATAAAATTATATTATGCGAGCCTCTGGCGAGCATAATATTATTTTATTCAACGAGTGCAATAAATTCAGTAATGAAGTTACACGAATTTAATATTCTATTTATCACATACCCAAAATAAAGACCGTTTTAGGTAAAATAAGAGTCATTTTTCATTGACGCGCCTATAGTATAACGCTAACATTTAGCGCGTCTTTACACTATGTTTGAATAACGCTTATGACGTCACGTCAAAATATATGCACGGCCGTGCAATACCATATTTACGGAGTCGCAAAATCGGCACGGGTGTGTGATAAAATTATATTTGAGTATTTGTAAACAACTGGTGTAAGATGCGTATCCGAGTATTGAAGAAATAACACATCTATTTACAGAACCTGTTGATATATGAGGGGTTATAAAAATACAAAGTAACTTCTGTATTTGACGTCAGAGAGCTTTAAATTGCTGGTAGATTTTTAAGCTATTTATTATGAAATCAGGTAAGAAGTCTGAAAATTAATGCATTAAGTTATAATTGCCAAATTTATGCGATAATGCACAATAAGCAAATGAATGCTCTTGAGACTCTATGTTTTAAGATAAATTATTAATTTTGATTAATCGCATAGAGGATATTGAATGAGTGTTGATTTAATCCTATTTTTTTCTGGCTAGTATTTTCTTGCATATCAGACTGGCGTTTCCGTGAGTTTTACCCATGCCGGAAATTTCATCTGGCATGGGGGGTTCCAGATGAGTCGCGTGCTGTACAATAGCACGCTTAGTATGACGTCATTTTACCGTTATGAATGAAGTTGTAATTCATACGTTGTTGTAAGAAAGTAGTTACGGTTGTAATGATATAAATTTCCATTGAAATCAAAGATAAAGAATTTAAAATATAATGGAATATGGTAGAATATGCAAGAAAAAATATCTGACATATGTTTGCGGTTCGGATCGGAATATCCGTCCCTCGGTCACCCGCCCACGGGCGGTAACTCGGCAAGCCTCGTTACCGCCCAGTGAGCGGGTCACCTCGGGACGGATATTCCGATCCGAACCGCAAAATATGACAGATATTATTAATATTGTTTTATTTCATGCTATCCAGTGTTTTATTGTAATATATCAGATGATTATATTCTGATAAACCACTAGTGAAATTTATAAAAATATAATTTTCACCGAGCTGGACTTAGCCCTATATGAAAAGAAAATCATAACTAATTGGAATGACAGGCAGAAATAAATGCCGTCATGCATAAATTTTGCTTCTTTAAGAAATCATACATCATACATCATATTAAAAATGTAACAAAATTAGAGAAATCTAACAGACCTATGTTTCAAATCTGATGATGTGACGTCATGATGTGATGACGTCACAAAGGGGAATGCGCGAAGTTACGCGGCAAAATCAGTTATAAATATTAAAATCACATAAAAAGCATGAAAAATAAAAAGAAAATTCATTTGCTTTGCATATAAGATTGAAATATATCTCATTCGTGAACACCAGCTTTTTATATTTTGCATCTGGTGTTCACTCAGTGAAATTATATTTCAATCTTACATGCAAAGCAAACAAATGTCCTCTATTTATTCAACGAGTTCAATAAATTTAGCGTTGAATCTACACAAATATAATATTCTTTTTTATCACATAACTAAAATAAGAACGGTTTACTAATAAAGAGTCATTTATCGTTGAAGAGCCTATATAACGCTAACGTTTGTGCGCTTTAATGCTATGTGTGTATACATAATGCCAGTAACGTCAAATCAAAGTGTTATTACAGCATTAAATCCATTTAAGTTTTTCAAATTGCATTGTCAAAAAAATGTTTATGATAAACTCAAAATTCAAGTTTTTTTTACCGATTTATTTTTCATATTGTGGCCTATCATGAAAATATTTATTCATGAACATATGTATTTTTATACCATTCGTTGAAATAATTTAAAAAAAAGCAACATGTTTATTTCTGAAAAAAATAAGCATACAAGCTACTGACTTAATAATTATCTTTCATTTATTATTCTAAAATAATGACGAACGACTAGCAAATATAGAGTGACTCACGCACAACCAGATCTTTTTGCTAACTGTACGGATCCGTACGACTAGCCACTACGTCATCGCTGTGATGTCATGAAATTAAATAAAAAAATCTTTGTCGCACTATCCATTTTATCATAAAAATGGTAGCAGCATGTTTTCTCTACATGGGTACATCAGTGCAAACATTTTGTGTCGGCGCACGGGGAAGTTGTGTTAAGCTGTAAGATCACTTATGCAACGTTGTTCTTGGCGTCGTAAATCTGCCAAGCCCCGTGTAGTGTTTATTTTGCCATGGTATTTCGGTAAAATTTTCGGAAATTGTGTAGCAGATATTGCATTTTATCACAAACACGTGCCGCTTTTGACGACTCACTAAAAAAGGTATTGCACGGCCGTGTATATATTTTTACGTGAAGTCCTTTGCGGTATACAAACATATTATGATACTGCAAGTTTGTAATGTCGTTTTTCATTGCATCGTGACGTTTATATTATTAGTTATAAAGATCGTTGACAGGTTATATGGCCCTATATAAACGGCTATTTGTAAATATAACCCGAGCCGTTAGGCGAGGGTTATATTGCAAACAGCCGTTTATATACGGCCATATAACCTGTCAACAATCTTTATAACGAATTTATAATACAGCAAGCATCATTTTTAGAGAAAAAATTAAGATTTCCTCATGAATCGACAGCAGCCGTGTATATAAAACTATATAAACGTCACGATTATCCAATGAAAAATGACGTTACAAACGTGCAGTATTATAAAGATTTTTATAATACTGCACGTTTGTAACGTCACTTTTCATTGGATAATCGTGACGTTTATATAAATAAATTTTATATACACGGCTGCTGTCGATTCATGAAGAAATCTTACATTTGTCTCTAATAAATGATGCTTGCTGTATTATAAATTCGTTATAAAGATCGTTGACAGGTTATATGACCGTATATAAACGGCTGTTTGCAATTTAACCATCGCCTAACCAGGCCCTAACGGCTCGAGTTATATTTACAAACAGCCGTTTATATAGGGCCATATAACCTGTCAACGACCTTTATAACTAATAATATACACGACTGCTGTCAATTTATGAAGAAATCTCACTTTTTTTCTCTAAATAAGAAAGTTTGCTGTATTATAAATTTGTTATAAATATTTTGACATGTTATATGGCCGTATATTAAACGTATGCCCAGCGGCACGGGTTATACATATACAAACATTCGTTTATATAGGGCCATAAATGTCAAAGATCTTTATAAATAATAGTGTAAATGTTAGCGTTGTCTACTATAGGCGCGTCGATGAAAAATGATCATTTTGCATTTTAACTGTCTTTTATGGTGGTACGTTATAAATAGAACAATATATTAGTGAAGTTGATCGGGTTCGTGCAATAAAATAATGTCATGCTCGCCACAGACTGGCATAGTATACTTTTATTCAACTCATTCAATAAATTTAGTACTCACTTACACTCATTCGGTATCCTCTATATATGAAAATTGATTGTTTTTTTTTTAGGGAGAGCCAAGATATTTTCTGATAATGATGTATTTCATTACATGAATTTTAGATAAAATGATATCAGAAAGGTAACAACTATTGACTGTCTTTAACATGATAGTGTTTTATACTCGGAAATATATATATTCATTAAAACTGAACGCTTCCAGATAAGCCAAAATATTTCAAGAAAATCGATTTTATATCAATAAAGAGGAAAGTCGTAATAACGCCAAATAGGTATATTTTCGTGTCTTCGCCTTTCCAATTTCGGGGCAAAAACACGAAATGGCAGAAATCAGCATCCAAACATATGAGACTCCGCTATTTTTAGTAACATTTACGGATTATTCTATCTGGCTAGTGAGAAATATAGGTACAGGTATAATACAGGTATTTTGTATTAAATAGCTAAACAGGGGCTGACAAAGAATGTTTTCATATTGTACCTTTGTAATCCTCTTTTCAACTGCATCGAATTTTGTATTCCTGAAATGAAATGTTCATGTACATATATTTTGAGGGTAATAAATAAGGGTAATTCTATGTCTTCCTTAATGATAGTAATGGTCTGAATCGACAAGTGAATATGGTGAATTGAAAGTGATTGATTGAATTCAAGTAGACAAGGATGAATTTAACTTAAATATTAACTTTGTGGTTTATAACTGCATTTTAAAGTCATCAATTCATCACTAGTATGCATTTATGTAAAAAAAACAAATAAATCAATATAACAAAGGAGGACAATATTTTTTTAATAAAGGGTTATATCTATTATTATCTACGTGTAAAATTGTAGTAATTCATAAAGATACGTGCGTTCTTCACTGAATATTGATGTGAATATTTCCTTAAAGACATACAAACGTATTCCAAGATAAGTTTAAATCATGCACATATATTATCATTAATACATAGTATTTCTTTTGATAACCTATAAAGGGCCTTAGCTAAAAATGCAGAATCAGAGTTTGATTATATTTGATTAAATAACTCAAAACTACTTATACAGCTAGATGAAAAACTGAAAATCTGTATCTCACAATGACATCTGTGCACTGTTTTGTTTTAGTTTGATAATGCAATTGATTTAAATGTTACATTTTGAACAAAATGAAGAAATAAAGAGATGAGTATTAAAACCAAGGACAATAGCGAATACGTTATGACGTGAAGATCTGCTTTACTTCTTATTTAATGCATCACTCCATAATAACTTATATGTACTTATTAGGTTTAACAATCAGAGTAAAAAGTACCGTCCAAACAAAAATTAAATTAAAAAAGATTGGGGATACTTTAGGTATTATGGAATGAAGCAAAACATTTCCAATGCACTGCACTTGTACCCAGTAAGATCTGGAGTTTTAGTTTTATAACTAAATGAGCTGTTGTGTTATGTTTGAAATTAAAACAATGATGTACTTTAAAACGAACAGATGAAAGTATAAGCAACCAGACTAACTGCGCTAAAGCTATATACAGCTGTTTCTGTTCCGTTGCCTTCCGCGAGGATTGATAGTAGCTCATTATTATAATTACTGTTTTGAATGTTAATTTTATTAATATAAATGATAATTAAGTTGAGACAAACCTTCCCTTTGTGATCTACCTTGAAGTGACGTGTTTTCTGTAGAAATCAGACGCAAGATTGGCTCTTGTGACGGTATCACTGACAATGGTGTTGTGTAGTTCTTAGACTGTGCGGTATTTGATATGGTGTCTAAAGAAGGATTTGTATCGAGTAACTGTCCAAACACATGGCTATATTCAAGTCCTGTGTTTAAAAGAAAAAAGAGAGATGTCATTGTATACTCAAGTGAAGATTGTTTAAGAAAAAAATTAATTACTAGAAACCTCGCACTGGTCAAAATGTAATGGCATGCAACACATACAATTCATTTTAGACAAACCTTCTGTTTGTGTTGTATCTCGAAGTGAAGTATTCCCTGTTGAAACCGGAATCATCGTGTTATGACTTGACAGCAAGTTTGGCAATTGTGACGGTACCACTGTCAATTGTGGTGTGTAGTTCTTAGACTGTGTGATATTTGATATGGTGCCTATAGAATGATCTGTAGTGACTAACTGTCCAGACACATGTCCATATTCTAGCCCTGTGTTTAACAGAAAAAGAGAAATGCATGTAATCTTAAATATTACTACTGTCAGTACAAACAATTCAACATCATTTTGTATCCCACAGAAGATTGTTTAAAGAATATTAAATCACCATAAACTATACTAGAAACATGTCACTTGTCAGAATATAATGGCATCGACACAACCGTCAATAATTTAAATCTGTAAATGTTTTAGTCTTAACCTTAAATGACAAAACCGATCATTTAGTCACATTAAACAGTGAAAGTGAAAGTCATATGATAAAATACTTATTGAAAGCTTCAAAACGAAGTTATGTTAACACTACATGATAGGCTCAACTTACGTTCAGTAACTTCTGATTTAACGACAATTGTTTGTAAAGGTACATCCACCACGTGGTCAAGAATGGCATGCCGTCCGATTTCGTTGATACATTTTTCTAGTTTACCCTTTTCACACGTTATTACCATGTTAAAATTCCCTGCCATAACTGCTCTGTACAGGTGATCAAACATGTTGTACCATTTGTACACATCATTTTTTTCGTAACGATATTTTCCAGCAAACTCGTCAATGATAACTAAGCAGATGTTTGTAAGGTCAATGTAATTGACATCGTTAGGTTTCTTGAGAAGTAAACATTGGGATGATTCATAAGCAGATGCCAACTTAACAGCTACAGAAGTTTTACCACATTTCTTAGGCCCTGTTAATACTACTGCTTTACCTGTCTTGAACTTCTCTTTCGCTATCTTGAAAACATTCGCATCCACTTGAAGGCTGAATACCTGATATTCGCTCAAAAAATTCTTCGTCATCACTTAAAATATAAAAAATAGCAAGCGTACTATTGTTCCAAAATACACCGTTTAAATGCTTTAGTTTCATCATGGGGAACAGTTTTATGAAATACCTTAATTCAAGAAGAACAAGAACTGTCGGAGGACAGTAACGCTCGACTATTCGAAAATTTGTCACAAGGGTGTTTCATTGAGTATAATAATGCTTACCTATATGAATACATAAAATTGTCCGAAAAGGTACAAACTCTTCAAGTTTCAATACATTCCCTTCAGTAGTTATGGAGATATAAGCTTACATGCAAAAACTTAACCAAGAATTCATGAGTCGAAAAAGGGGCATAATTATGCAAAAAAGCAAATCAGAGTAATGGGACTTGTACCAATCATCTTAGATAATCACAGAGACCAAGTGTGTGAAGTTTCAATCCATTCCCTCTAGTAGTAATGGAGATACCAGCTTACACGCAAAAACTTAACCAAGAATTTCTAAGTCGAAAAAGGGGCATAATTATCTTAAAAAGCAAATTAGAGTTATGGGACTTGTGCCAATTATCTTAGATAATCACAGAGAACAAGTGTGTGAAGTTTCATTCAATTCCCTTCAGTAGTTATGGAGATACCAGCTTACACGCAAAAACTTAACCAAGAATTTCTAAGTCGAAAAAGGGGCATAATTATGTAAAAAAGCAAATCAGAGTTATGAGACTTGTGCCAATTATCTTAGATAATCACAGAGAACAAGTGTGTGAAGTTTCAATCCATTCCCTTCAGTAGTTATGGAGATACCAGCTTACACGCAAAAACTTAACCAAGAATTTCTAAGTCGAAAAAAGGGGCACAATTATGTAAAAAAGCAAATCAGAGTTATGGACTTGTGCTAATCATCTTAGATAATCACAGAGAACAAGTGTGTGAAGTTTCAATCCATTCCCTTCAGTAGTTAAGGAGATACCAGCTTACATACAAAAACTTAACCAAGAATTTCTAAGTTGAAAAAGGGGCATAATTATGAAAAAAAGCAAATCAGAGTTATGGGACTTGTGCCAATCATCTTAGATAATCACAGAGAACAAGTGTGTGAAGTTTCAATCCATTCCCTTCAGTAGTTAAGGAGATACCAGCTTACATACAAAAAACTTAACCAAGAATTTCTAAGTCGAAAAAGGGGCATAATTATGAAAAAAAGCAAATCAGAGTTATGGGACTTGTGCCAATCATCTTAGATAATCACAGAGAACAAGTGTGTGAAGTTTCAATCCATTCCCTTCAGTAGTTAAGGAGATACCAGCTTACATACAAAAACTTAACCAAGAATTTCTAAGTCGAAAAAGGGGGCATAATTATGAAAAAAAGCAAATCAGAGTTATGGGACTTGTGCCAATCATCTTAGATAATCACAGAGAACAAGTGTGTGAAGTTTCAATCCATTCCCTTCAGTAGTTATAGAGATACCAGCTTACATACAAAAACTTAACCACAGGGACGCCGACGCCGACGCCGACGCCGACAAATGGGTGACTGCATTAGCTCGATTATTCTGCGAATAGTCGAGCTAAAAATGGTCAATACTCAAACTTACATTTATCCTGAATTTCCGCCTTTGATTTTGAACTAGGCTACAGAGACCTAAAATTTACGGACATTTATATACCTTACTTTTATTTTGGACAAGGGGTTTTACCTGTGACCCTTAAGTGTGACATTTGACTATGAGTCCAACTTCATGTCCAGTTCTAGAAATATAAGATCCCTTCTTGTATGATAAAGACTCCAAATTTTGTTTACATTCAATCATCTCTGGAGACATTGACTTGAATTATGCTTGTCATTTTCAGTATCACTATTGTGAACATATGTGATAATTGTAATCCCTTAGCTCAAGTCTATAAATTCTGTTTACACACATTTTCTTTCTGACAAATTGTGACCTTGACCCAGAGACATGCTTCATTCGCCAAAATCCATTTTGCAAGTAATATCAAAATCTGATCTTTCATGATCAGGATCTATATCCTCTTTGTAAACTCTGTACATTTTATCATCTTGGTAACCTTGACTTTGCATATTGTGACCTAGATAATGTTGGCAATACCAAGTCTCATTTTTTGAACATTTGAGATCAGAGCTCTTTAAAGCTACACTGTAGTGCATACGCACATTTTTATATTTTTTATAAGACCTTTGACGTCAACTTACGGGACCTACATTTTGCGCGTAATACTAATCATAATAATATGAACATTTGCGCAATATTATTCCTAAAACCTTCAAGAAGTTTTGCTACATATGACCTCTAAATGTGACACTAATTTTTGACCTAAAGATCTATTTTATGCGCGTGAACTAAGTCATATCGTGGTGAATATTTGTATATTATTATACCTAAATCTCACCATGCATGTTAGAAGATATATTTAACTGTACACCAATCTCGCTCCCATGCAACAACAGCGAACCAATAATAAGACCCGTTCCATACAAAACGGTCTAAGTAAACAACAAAGCAACTTACCTTCTAAATTTCTGTATACTGACACCAAGGACTGTTGTACGTATAGATTTTGATCTCCACAACCTGCAATGATAAATGGTTCTTGTTTGTGAAAATAAAACATTAGAGAAATTATATGACAATTTCTCACTTAAAATATTGGCAGGAATTATTTAAAAGTACATGAATATTACATTTTATGCAATAATTGCATAACAAATAATATACCTATTGTAAGATCAGCCGGCTGTGCTGAACTTGTCTTAGTAAACACCTTCACCACTTCTTCTAAGATTTCATGGTCATGATGCATTTTGCACTCTTCCAATATCTTCAAGTCTGTTACTATGACAATGTCTAAGGCTTTATCGCCATTATCTCTCTTTGTTGAATGCAGCATGCTTTTAAATATATCATCCATGGCTTTAGCTTTGCTTTCATTGTAAGAAATTCCTCCAAATGGATCTCTACATAAAACCAAATCTACATCTTCAGGGTCAATGTGCCGCCAATCAGACGACGTGTCCATTGCTACGCTTCGTTTGTAATTATAATCCATCCCCTTTATTGCTGCAAGAGCGGTCTCAAAGTAACGGCTATTGTTGCATCCGGTTACAACCACGTGATGACAATCTCTTAGTATAGCTCGAATACCTGAAACTTCATTTGGAGCATTGAAATCGTCCGGAAAGTCCTTCATCGATAACTCGAATTCCTCTTAAATAGAAAAAAATGTCTTTGTAAAAACAAGCATTGCAGTCATGAAATCGAATTTCTCTGAACTTATAACATGGAAAATAACTTTTGTCAAATGCATTAATTGATTTTTGTTTAAAAGAATTTTGTAAATAATGTATTCACACGTTAACATTTATAACGTATTTTTTATCTGATAACTCCAGAAAATAATGCTCTTTTTCAAAAAACTTACTTTGAAGTTTTGCCAGTATACCATCAACAACTTTAAATCTTTTATTTTTGTCCCCTGAAATTTAACACATTGGTTTATTTGTCTAGCATACAATTATAAGTACATAAATTATATGTTCTGAACCTAAAAAAGAAAAGAACATATTTTAAACTAATCATACATAGCGATGAAAAAAGTGATATACTGATATACGTTTATACAAAGTATGTCATGCCGATTTTATTTGTTCCAATAAAGATTTTATAAATATCACATATATCTATTTATTTACAAACTAATAATAAAGACATTTTTGGATAGGTCGTTTTAATTAACTCATGAGTTTGTGTTAATGAATGAATCGGAATAATAAGGCATTGGTTAAAATATCTTCTAAAGAGACAACCTGAAGGTCCCGGCTTTTTGACAGTCACTTTTCGGAGAATGCAGTTTGTTTCTTTTGTTGTTGATTCCATCTGCTTAATTGTTGATCCCATCTCATTAATTGTTGATTCCATCTGCTTAATTCTTTCCTCGTACCAACTTCGTAGACAATCTCCAATATTTGGAAGATTGTTACATTTTGCTTTACTGATTTTATCTTGAAATGCAGCTTTATCTTTTGGATTAACAGTACATGTGTTAACGATATGCATGCTGGCATTTTCCAAGCCTTCCCAATAATTGTCGAACTCATCATCAGAAATATTTTTTGTATTTGGGTGATGCTGCAACTCATTCCGAATATCTCGTATCACAGATACAGCACGTGTTTCATGTATTGGAAATAATACAACAATATATGTCACAATTAATGTTATATCCCATTGGTTTTCATCAGCGTTGCCGTTACTAGGATACATTAAATTATATTGATCTTGCCTGATCTTTTTCTGCTGCAATAACAGTTTCACATCCCCTTGTCTTTGAATTAAATATGCCAAAACTGATGTATAAGTGTTCCCAGCATCAGTTTTTGCAAGTTTGACAAAATATTTCCTTAACACGTCAGCGCAAATATCAACCACGAAGCAAACCAGTCTATAATATTTGTCTGCCATCTGTAAAGGGAACAAGCCATTATTAATTTATTCAAACAGCATTATTTGTTTCTTTATTTTTATAGAAAAATAATATTATTTTGTGTGTACATCTTGTTAAGTTCAGTTTTTGAAAAAGTTACATAAAATTTGATAAATATTAATTGAATGATGTTGACAAAAGTAAAAGAAGTATATGCTTACGCAAAAGTATCAGTATAAATCAACGCTTATATTTCTAAACAGTTTAATTACATGTATTGTTTTCAAGTATTTTTATAGAATAAATAGCAGAACACGGATATTGTCTATGGTAAAAACGGTTTTATTACAGTTTTAAAATTGAATAGCTAAAACATATTTAAATGAATGAATTAATTAATCAATTAATTCGTTCATTCATTATTGTAATTATTCATTCATTCAATACATTCATTCTTATTTCACGTATCAGACGATTACAATTAATTGATGAAACATGCTATATTTAATCATGAGGAAAATAAATCAAGTGATATGTATAAAGGGGATTAATTTTATCACTAGCTATTTCAGGCCTAATATTTCGACAAATTGTACTTCTAATCTCAATATATTACACTTCCAATCTCAATACATTACACTTCCAATCTTAATATATTAGTATTTCATTATGCTATAACGTTAAACTATTTCCATATCTGACAGATTGTGTAACATAAGTATTTTATACGTAACAGTGAATTCGATAGTACAACAGTGAATTCGATAGTACATAATAATTTAATAAGCTAAACAAGGCTTCTAGAATTACAATAAACCTAGTTTGTACCGTTTCTAAAGATAATTTCTGTCTACCAATCTCATTAAAATCATACCCGATCTGATTTTCTCAGCTACATTTTGCTTTTTTTACTGTAAATAGAAAAAACTGTGAGAATTTTACTGCTAAAATGATTTAAACCTATTTCAGACTAAATTTCTCGACAAAGTATACATTTTGACCAATCTGGGTTTAAATTTGTATTTAACTATGCTATAACGTTAACCTGTTTCAATATCTGTCCGGTTTTATACATAAGTATTTTATACATTAGATTGAAATTAAATGAACTATAATCTAATGAGTTAAACAAGGTTACACAAGGACTAATTTTATAAGACTCTTACACCGGCTGCCGGTACAGACCGGAATATCTAGCTCGAGGGTAACTGTTTACAGCGGTAACGAGGCTCTGCCGAGTTTCCGCTAAAGAGTTACCCGAGAGTAAATAAAATAGATTTTACCTTTCGCACTAAAATTATATCCTAACTGACGCTCTACTACATTTCGCTTCGTTGTAGTAGTACCGAAGCGGAACTCATAAGCTAGTAAACAATTTTCATTATAGATAGAAACAGCTATGAAAGTTTTACAGTTAAATATATCACATGGTACACTATTTGAATAAACATTTCTAAAAATAGCCAAATGAATTACGTGTAAGAAAAAAGAGACATTGATTACTATATAAGGTCATGGTATGTTAGATATAATTTTAGTGGAAAACAATGGTAGATATATTTAATAATAAAATGATATTTACAACTGATAAAGCATGAGACAGAAAATTTTGAAATTCCGTTTGCAGCTACAAATAGTGAAATGATTAAAAATTTAAAATCAGCTTTACAACATTGTGAAACAGTTAATACTGTGAATATTAACAATTAGACAAATCGGTAAAATATACATATATATATAATAGTTAAATGACGAGAAAATATCACAGATATGGAAATTTGCAAAAGAAAGGATAATCATATTTTAGCAAAAACAAGATGCAGTGTAACTTCCGAATTCAGAATCTAAAATCCGAACTTCAGAAATCCGGACATTTTTTCTGACAGGGTTCCGAATGATTGTCTGGTAAAATTTGGGTTATATCAATTCAAATTTTACTTCCAAAATCCGGAAATTATAAAGGTGTAACGGAATGTTATACTTGTGATTGTAAAACCTTCAAAATGTCAGTAACCATGTATCTTTACACTCAAAACCTGTGGAGCTTATAAGTGTGAAAGTCACAATAAAAATTGAGAAGATAAATTTGATGAAAAAAAAAAAGATTTTAGGTTAATAGTAGATATATGTTATATACTTAAATATAATATAAATTGTGATAATTAACATTTATTGTATCAACAAACTCAGTTGTAGGTGATAATAAAATTTATAAAAAATAATAAACTTTTTAAAAGTTCTATAATTTTGCCGCTTTGTAAATTATTTTTCATTATGTCTAACTTAAACAATTTTACTTTTTCAGATAATTCAGAACTTCTGAATTCCGGATATTTCCAAAATTCCGAGCTTTTTCGCTAGTCACAGAGGTGTTCGGTTTTCAGAAGTTACACTGTATTCATATATGCTTACATATTTTATGAACAATGACGAGTATAATTATTTGATGAATTTAGCAAAGTGACAATTTAAACATACATATTAGAGAAATAGAAGAAACAGTGTCTATTTAATCTAGTCAAAATATATTGACAGGCCAAAGCTTGTTTCTGAGATATTTTCGTTCTGGGGCAGAATCTCGCTTTAGAGGCGAGATATTGCCCAGACACGAAAATATCACAATATCTCGTCGCGCAGTACAATTAGTTGCAACTTGCAAAGCCCTCGAGAAATATGATAAAATATATTTTACCTTTTTTAACAATGGTTTCCTTCTAACATTATTGATTTACTAAAAAGTACTACACTATTCCAATGATAGAGACTGTGTTTTGAACAATGAGTCCTTTGACGAAAAATGTATAATCGGTTAATCCATTTCAGCATAGTTTTAAATTTGTAGATATAGAGATAACAGTTTAAGTACATTTATTTGCAAAAAAATTTTATTTTTTCAAAAAATTTCCTTTTTTCAATTTGGGTTTTTTCCCTTTAATACTTTAGCCCCAAAATTTTTTCAATACAAAAAAATCCGATTTTAAACAAGAAGAAGCATTTTCTATCTCAAGGTGACCTGAATAATTAAATTAAAACCAAAAAACCCCTTTTTCCCTAAAAATAAAAAAACAGTTTTTGGGGGAATTTCAAATCAAAAAAATTCACAGAAAATTTACACACTATTTAAAAAAAACTTAATTTTTCGTACCCAAAAAGGCCGGGGGGTTTCAATGAGGGGCCCTTTTGCTAAACCCGCGCCCCCCCAAAACAGTTTTCCAAAAAAAAAATCCCCAATTTAACCCTATAATTTTTTTATTTTTAAACTATTTTTAAATAAGAAATTTAAGTTTTTAAAAAAATTTTTAAAAAATATGAAAAGGGTTTAAAAACCTTTTTTTAATCCTTTTAAAAACTATTACACAAATTTTAAGATAAAATTATTAAAAAAATGAAGAAAATTTTATTTTTCAAAATATTTTAAAAATTTTAAAACATAAATGGTTTTAAAGGGAATTTTCATTTAAATTTTATAAAATTTTAGTTAAATCTTTTTTTGAAAAAACCTATTAAAAAAACATAAAATAATGACTTTTGGGAAATCTTTACTCATGTAAAAGATTTTTTAAAAAGTTTTGTAGCCCGTATTTAACGAAATTTTAAAAACCCAAAAATTTGCCAAAAATTTTGTCGTATTTTAATTTTAAATTTTTAGAAAATTTTTCCCTCGGGGAATTTGCATCTTTAATTTCCCCAATTAAAAGGGGCTCTTATCTAAAAAATCGGGTTATATTTTAAAATTTTTACTAAAAAAAATTTAAAGAGTTTATATTTCTTTTAAAAAACAAAAGCATTGGGACTAATTAATCCTTTTAAACCTTTTAACTTTTTAAACATCGTAAAGCTCCCCGGGGACCCCAAATTTTTTTTTTAAATTTAAATTTGATGTATTATCATATTTTCAAAATTAAATTTTGAAATTTTTGAAAAACAGATTTAAAACTTTTAATTTAAAAAAATTTTTTTTTAGGAGTTTTTCCCCCTTTTAAACTTGGAAAAAACCCCCCACTTTAACTATTGGACAACAATATTCATATTTTTTTACTTTTTTAAATTTTAGCAGTATGATAAAAATTTTCGTTTTAAAAACAGGAAAAAAAAAAATTTTTCCATCAATACAAGAAAATAAATTCCCTACTTTTTGGGGGAAAAAACATTCTTATTTGGGGTAGCCAAAATTAAATTTGGCGTAAAACCTTTTTACCCTTTTTTAACGGGATTTTTTTTTCCCTTACTGTCAAACCGTTACCCCCTTTAATTTTAAACGTCTTTTACGAGGGAAAAATCTCCCGGGTAACACTTTTCCGATATTTTTGGACGGGTTTTTTTACTTTTAAAACCGGGAAAAGTAATTTAAAATTAAAACCTCTAAAATCAATAGAATTTTTAAATTTTAATAAACTTTTCCTGGGAAAAAATATTGATTGAAACCTTTTTTTAAAAACGCATACATGCGATTTTTTTTCAAATTTTACGGTCTACTTTTTATTTTCCGGATTTTTTTATATCATCGAAAAAAATCTTTTTGTAAAAGGGCGGTAGTAGCACCAGTGGATAGGGGTAATTTGGGGTTAACGCAGGGAAGTTTAAATTTAAAAAAAAATATGGGGGGAAAAAATTTTAAAGGGGGCAAGGGTTGGGCAAAAAAAGTTTCCGTAAAAGTACTTGTTTAATTTTTTTAAAATTTTTAAAATTCTTTTACTTTTGTACTAACATTTTTAAATATGGTTTCCCTTTTCTTTTTACTGCTAATGACGCCAAAGTCACTCTGGGTAAATACTGACTTATTAACAGCATATTATAGGAAAATTAAAGGGAAACGAAAAAAGAAATTTTAAAAGGGAAAACTATTTAAATCATTTTAAAATTTAATTCATTTTGTACAAATAATTTTTTAAAAGACTTTTTTTCCCCCGTTTTTGCCGAAAATAAAAAACCCAAATTTTTAAACCCCCATTGTTTAAATTTTAAATTTGGTTTTCAACAACTTTTTTAAATTTTACTAAAAAGGAACTTTTATTGTGATCCAGCCATATGCTGTGTAACGGTATAAAGGAAGGGTCACATATTTTTAATTGAAATAAAATTTTAAAGTAGAGGATATTCAAAAAAAGTCTCAAGGAAAACAAAAAAAAAGATTCAGAATTTCAAAATGAACAGATTAAGAGACTTATAAATGATTAAGGTGTATTAGTCTTGGTTGTTTCATGACTGTTTTTGGTGACACTTTTGTTTGTGTCCCTTGTTGTTTTGATTGTCTATGGTAAGTATCTTCCCTTTGCCCCTAGTTTTATTTCTTTATTTTCGGCCCCCTCCCCGAATTTCCTAATCCCCTTTTCTCCTGTTGCCCTTAACTTAGGTGGTTCCTGTTTCATTACTTTTTGATGGGTTGACCCACTTTGTTGTTGTTGTCCCTTGTTGTTTTTTCGTCTTTTGGTAAGATATTTTCCCCTTTCCCCCTTTTTTTATTTTTTTTCCCCCCCCCTCCCAATTTTCCAAACCCCCTTCCCCTTTTGGCTCTTAAACTTAAATTAGTGGGTCCCTTTTAATCTTTCTTTTATTTTTTTTTGTTTTCCTTTCCTCATTTTACTTTTTAGTTTTTAAAGCCTGACCTGTTTCCCCCTTTTGGGGGCCCTTTTCCCTTTTAAAATTTTGGGGGAATTCCGGGGCTCCTTCCCAATTTTTCAGGGTTCCTTTCGGGGGTTTTTTTGCGCCCATTAACCCCCCCTTTCCTTTTTCATCTTGTTATCAATTGTATACAGTTACCGAACCTAAACAAACAATAATTTGATTATAAATAAAAGGGTTCG